TTTTTTTTTTTTTTCCTCTCCCCCTACGATCACGAATCCTTCCAACTGGCACGACCGATCCTTGCCTGCAAGACTATTTGTCCAGTTCTCTTGGCGACCACGCTTCCTCTTCCCTCCCTTGAATGGAAAATGCGACAATTAGTTTTTGCATCCTCTCGTTTTATTTTAAAGGGAAGCAGAGCGCGGAGGAACAAATCGAGTTACGTTAAAAGCCGTTTAGAAGGCAAAAAACGTTGAAATATATTTATTGGATTTGCATATTGGAATAAATGGTAGAAACATCAATTATCCGAATTTTGATTATTGTAATTTTTTCGATTATCGTAGAGTATTTAAATTGATGCATGTAATAACTCTTTGAATTCGATATATTTTTGAATATAAATACAATTTAAAAATATGAATATTTTTAAATTGCAAAAAAAGAGAAGGATTTTGTTTAAGAAGAAGCTCGTAAATTCTTGAATAACGTATGGAACTCGGTGTATATTACAGAGATGAAGATTAGGAGAATGGATGTAGGCATAGATGGCATTTGAATATAACGATAAGATTTCCTTTATACGTGTCCTATCTACATAATGCATATGTAATGTATTCAAGTTTGCTAATGTATTTAATGAAAATTCGAAATGAATTATAATTATATGTTATTATTATTTTTTAAATTTCGAATATACTTTCTAACTACTGCTTATTGCTAATTACTGTTATTAAATTTTAATCGCTATGCTTTGCGTTATTTACATAATTACTATAATGTACGCGTAAATACACAATTGATCGAAAGAGAGATGCTTATGAGAATTCGATGATATGGAAAATTCGTTGGGATGATGACAAGAAAAATATAATTTAATATAATTGTTGTTAATTATCGAAAAGTAATAATATATATGTAATATAAATTATAATAAATAAAAATGGCTATAATTATTTAATATAATTTAAAAAATTAAACTTTATAATTAAGAAATTTTAAAAATGGATCGATCAGTTTCACTTTCGAGTAGTTCATATATGTATCTTCAGTCATACTGTTCGGTTAATATTATTGAGAGAGTTAACCGTGAGTGATGACAAACTTACCACGAACTGTAGGGGATCTTTCAAGTCTACATTGGAATCGATTTAAATTATAATCACAGCTTGAAAATGGATTGTGAAAATTAACTGCAACGGCAATATGGCTTTTTTTCAATCTTATTTTTTTCATTTTTTTTTTTTGTATGATTAAGTAATTAACTTAATAGTTATATTTTGTAAAATTTTCTTTCATATCAATTCAAAAACACGTTCTAATGTATCTAAAAAAATCAATATCAATATTAGTTTGATATGCTTTTTATGATCTAAAGTGGTAAATAATTATTATAATATATTAAATTATTATATTAAATTATATATTATAATTATTATATTAAATAAGATTTAATTAGGAAAATTAAATCTGATAAAGAAAACAGAAGTAAGAATACAGAATTTAATTAAATAATTTACAGTTTAAAATATCGAGATATAATAAAAAGAATATAAGTTATTAAAATTTATATTATAACAGAACGAATGAACTCTATAAATAACTCTATAAATAAAAAAAATATATAAAAGAATAAATAAATCAATAAATAAATGTTTAAATAAATGAATAAATAAATGACGATGTAAATTAATAAATGAATCG